TGCATGCTTACGCGTTCACGAGCTCCATGAACTTGCCAGACTTGAGGGCAGCCAGGGTCTCATCGCAGCCACCAACGAGCTTGCCCTTGACGAAGACGGCAGGCACGGTGCGGTGGCCGTACACGGACTTGATGATGGCATGGACATCAGCGCCTTCAGCCTTCTCGTCGCCGTAGGTCACTGCCATCAACAAGGTGTGAGCAAAACATGCGAGGGTGAGACACATGCAGGTGTGTGCACAACGGTGGTGACCGTGACGCTGCAGACAGAAAGCAAGCAGTTGACTGAGCGCGCCAGCATGCACGAGTGCAGGACACGACGCACAGCATGGCAGGGGAAGTGTGGCAGGGTGAGTGTGGCAGGGTGAGTGTGGCAGGGGGAGTGTTGCAGGGTAAGTGTTGCAGGGTAAGTGTCATGGCTCACCTTCACCCTGGTCCAGCTCGATGATGAGGGCCTCAATGCCCTTCTCCTTGAGGGCCGCCTGCACAACAAGTGCACGCACACAGTGAGACACGAGGTGTCATAAGTCGCAAGTGAGACACAAGCCTTGGGTGAGTGGCACTCATACATTCAGTGAAGCGACGAGGACGAAAATTGCCACACACACTCACACTCACACTCACACGCGCACACACACGCGCACACACACACACACACACACACACACACACACACACACACACACACACACACACACACACACACACACACACGTCACACCTTTGCGCGGGTGCAGAAGGGGCAGTAGGTCTTGGAGAACACCACGACGGTGTTGTTGGCGAGGGCCTTCTCGACGAGGGTCTTGGCAGTCATGTTGAGGTTCTGGTGTGATCCAAACACGTTTCCCATCTAAGGACAAAGGCAAGAGACAGCGTATGCGGTGTGTGATGTGATGTCTGGCGTGACGTGTAGTGTGTGCGGTTGAGGAACAAAAGCAAACAAAGTAAGTGAGCGAGTGCAGCAATCCTCCTCATCTCGTCTCCGTCGCCACACACACACACACACACACACACACACACACACACAACACTCACTCTTGCACCCCTTTCTCTCCTCATCATCATCGCTGATCATACGTTCTGTTGTGATGAAATTTATCGAGTACTGTCAACAATAATCGACTATGACCAGCTCCGAACGCAGAAAAGTTGTTGTTGTTTTTGTGTGTGTGTGTGTGTGTGTGTGTGTGTGTGTGTGTGTGTGTGTGTGTGTGTGTGTGTGTGTGTGTGTGTGTGTGTGTGTGTGTGTGTGTTGGATGGCGAGGCTGAAGCGAGCAAGCGAGAAGGAGAAGTGAGCAAACGAGAAGGAGAAGTGAGGAGAAGCGACAAGAGGACGCGAGAAAAGGAAACGCGAACGAGAATTTGCAAGCAAGAATGCATGAACATGAGACGCGTAGTGGCGTGTGACGTGTGACGTGATGTGATGTGATGTGGTGTGATGTGATGTGCGGATCCATGTGTTGATGAAGCTAGAGGAAGGTGGAGTCGCCTGCCCAGATGGCGCCGGCATTGTGCGGTTTCCCATCACCAAACTCCACCAGGAACGATGCAAATTTACCCGTCTTGGTTGGGTCCCTGAACAAACGGCAATACATACCACGAAAATCGGCCATATGCCAGCGCAGCGCAATGAGTTACACTGGCTCATACAACCCCCTCATAACGCTCCCCCCCCCACACACAGCAACACACACATGAACACAACATGCAACACACAACACAGACACGTTGCCTCACCCTCTGGCCGTGCGAGGCCTGATCCCGCGAACGTGCTCTGCGCTGGTGTCTGCAACGTGGAACTTGAGCGCAGCCTGACACCATGAAAGACATGAAAGACAAGCAGCACAGCAGCGAAACGGGGTCAAAGCAGCGTGTGTTACAGTGTATGTGTACGTGAGTGAGTACGTGTGTGTGTGTGTGTGTGCGTGAATGCGTGGGAGTGAACAAGGGAGTAAGTGGGAGAACAACATGACGTACGTCACGTGGGCTGCCGTGATGTCGCACACAGCAGACACCAACCACGACACAACACACAGAGCCTACATTTAGCAGATGATCCTACCTTGCTGGGGATGCGCAGGGGAAGCTTCCACTCGTTTGCCGCCTGAATTGGGTAGCGCAAGTCAAGGCCACTCCCTGATGACGACGATGATGACGATGATGATGACGATGTGGTGGCGGTGGTGACGCCCGCCACCGCGCGTGCAAGTGTGTACATGCCGTGGGCAATGCACGTTGGCTGCCCAAACAGCTTTGCGGTGAGCGGGTGGATGTGGATTGGGTTGTAGTCGCCGCTGCAGCGTGCATATTGCCACCCAATGTTGTGTGGGAGGGTCCATGTGTTTGTCTGCTCCCCGGCAATCTCAGCCCGCTCCTTTGGCGCCTTTGGCTTGCGCGCTGTGTGCGCGCATGTGTGCATGTGTGTTTGTGTGTTGTGGTATATGCGTGCGTGTGTGTGTGTGTGTGGTGTGCGTTGTTGTGTGTGTGTGTGTGTGTGTGTG